TGACTCTTCATACCAAATAATTGTGCTATTGCATATTCACACATCGAGATATGTTGGATGCAAACCCATTAAGGAATCTAAGTTCTTTGAACCACTGACATATTGATTTTCTTTGATCTCTACTTAGAACATAAGTGGCCTTAGGATTTTCAATCAAATCTGATCCTGTTTTGGGTATGTGGAGACTTTTCCTTTTTACAATACAGTTCTAGATCAAATCTTGCATTTATGTTGTCCTTTGTCATTGGATCATCCATTACTGTATGTAGGATATTATCAAAAACGTTTTTCTCACAATGCATGACATTTAAATTGTGTTAAATCAAGTTTGTATGCCAGTATGGTAATTCCCAAAAAATGCTCTTTTTAACACAGTATCATGCGGCTTGCCAAATGGTATATCAGGTAGCCACTAGATGCAACTGTGCACCTCATCACCAGATAATCTGTCTAGCATGGTTGTATTCTCTACATGCCCCTTGATGAAATCATTCTTATTTCTTCAAAATGGATGATCTTATGGTAACAACTATCAGTGATAATAAAAAAATTATATCTTTTGACCATGTTGTAGCCAAAAGGCTTTTGAATTTTCCATGCAATCTGGACAAGCTAATCTACCATGTGTGCTCCATGTAGACAACATTGCATACCTAGGAAAGTCACTAATGGTCCACATAATTACAACCCTCATTAGGAAGTATTGATGTCTAAAGCTATCATAAACTTGGACCCCCAAAGTACCAAAGTTGTTTAAGATCATCAATTAATGGCCACAACATTACATCAATCTTCTTTCTAGGACTTTGGGAATCTTGGATAATCAATGAAAGGAATACATACTCTCCATTCATGCACATTGCTGAAGGCAAATTGTAAACTAACACAAAGACTGGCCAACAAGAGTATGGAAATGTAGATTGTCCAAAAGGAGTAAATCCATCAATGCATAGGCCTAGCCTGACATTCCTTAGTTCATTAGCGAAGTCAGGACGGGTACGATCAAAGTGCTTCCACACATCTCCACATGTAGGATGAACAATTTTTTCATTTTCATAATAACAATTTAAATGCTAGATCATATGCTCGACAATTTTCCTGAACATGTATAATCTCTGAAGTCTAAGAATAACCGGGAGATACCACAAGGACTTTTTTGATATGGGCTTAGTAGAATGAACATCACTCTGCTTAAATAGTAGCTCTCCACATACAGAGCATTCTAAATAGCATCAGTTTTCAAATTCTTTATAGTACAAAAAACAATTGTTCACACAAATATCATACTTCTTATAGCTGAGATTGAGGCATCTCAACATCTCCTTGGCACTATAATAATCTTTCGGCAATTTCTCTCGATTATTTTTTTTGAATGCCATTAGACTACATTTCATCACATAGTCCCAATTACTAACACTCATATTGAAAAGTGTCTTTGCATTTACAAGCTCACACACCCACTTTAAAATGGTGACACCATCATCACACCCATCAAAAAGAGGTGTCTCAATTGCTTGCAAGTGATCAAAGAATTCTTTTGCATCTCCTCTTGGCTCCTCAAATATTGACTCACCGCCACCAGATGCATCCTTAAAATGACAACCAAATTGCATTGCATCTTCCACAGCTGTAGCACTATTTTCATTACTAAAAAATTTAGGCCCCATGGCATCATAAAGCATGTCTCTCAGCTTATCAACACTTGGTAAGATAGGCCCTCACTTTAGGTCAATGGTGCCACTCTCTATTCCAACACTTAGTATATGGGCAACGAATCATATTTTTTGCACAAAACATTGAGTTTATCTGTGAAAATGCAAAATTTAAGAAAATCTCCACTCCAACATCAAATTGATTGTTCTAATATCCCATCTCATTATGATGATGATATGTCCAACTTCAGTCTCATTCCATACTTAAGTAGTGCCTTAAAATTTAATAATATCTTAATAATACACAATAAATATGAGAATCATAAAAAAAATTTCAAATTATATAAATTACATTAAAATGATTATCCATTTAAATAATTGTAAATAAACCTTGTCTATAGTTTTGCATTATTCATTATTAGAATAATTTTTACACAATTATAAGATACTTATATAATACTATTTTTCAATATAATTCAAATATAAATTATTATAAAATTAGTTTATTATAAATTATTTACTAAAAAAAAATACAAGACAAATGTTTCTATTTTTAATCTATAACCTAAAATTGTACTCCATTTTAATACAATTATAAAAATATTTTAGAAAATAATTT